AGAAGCAGCTGTAAGTTCAGTCATTGGCAAGCCTTGTGGTGTCAGAAATTTGAAGCTCACTGTAGTACTTTTGTTTTGTGTGATCTTTGTCCTACTGATTGCCATGTGACTCACTTTCTGTACCTCCTTCTCTGTTCCATTTTCTCCCCCTCATCTGGACTTCTGAGGACAGCTGGGAATGGTGAGGAAGAAATTCTGCCCCACTGTAACTTGCAGGTTTTTACCTACACCTGTGATGTGGGGAAAAGAGAAAATGTCTACTTGACCGCTGAAAGGGTCCGCAAAGAGGTTGGTGAAGTCTCAGTCCTGGTCAATAATGCTGGCGTGGTCTCTGGACATCACCTTCTGGAATGTCCTGATGAGCTCATTGAGAGAACCATGATGGTCAATTGCCACGCACACTTCTGGGTAAATATAAACCTTTTTTTTTTTTTTTTTAAGTCCTGGGCCCTCTTTGAGAAGGATAGAGATCTCAGTGCCAGCTTGAAAGCCACCTGTACTCCCATCACCGAGCCTCCTAATGAGTTATTCCCCGATGGTGAATTTCATTGTATGTTGGTTACTATTAAATCATTACTCTCTCCTCTCCCCCAAATTCAGTATTTCTTGAGAGGGTAAAAGACTTAACATTGTGAACTAGTTTGAAAAATTGCCATAAAAATAACAAGAGAGAGTATAAAACCCTGGGTTTGTTTATTTTACTTTCCACAGAGTTTATAAAACATTGGTTGTTCTTATGAATTCCTAAAGTCAGGGTTTAGGCTTCCAAATTACTGCTCAGCCACATTTTAGAAAGTGCCAAAGATTCTGAGATCAGCATTTGTGGTCCACTGGGAGTGATCAGGCCACCCTGGCCATCACTTATCTTCACCAGGATCTATATCATTGTCCTGTTGGAGGACATCTCAGGACTTTTTCAGCTTGGAAAAATTTCTCAAATGAGAACAGAAGTCACCTTGATAGGACCACAGAGTGGGGAGGGCATCATGAGACCTGTTGAGCTGTGGACTTCAACAATGTGAACTTCTAGCCAGCAGAGCTACTGTAGCATCTAGGAATTGGTGTGTGTGTTTGGGGGGGGGGGGGGCGTCTGCTTGGAGGGACAAAGTAATCATAACTTTTCAGCTGGATTATCTTTAATAAAGGCAGATGTGAAGCTCTCCTCTGTAATTCTGTGCACTGTTGACCCACTATGCTTTTTTTCTTCATAGTATTTTCCCTTTTGTAGATAGGTTGAATCCAATAAAGAAGAGGTAGAGAGGGCTGGGAGTGTATGAGGTTGAATCCAATAAAGAAGAGGTAGAGAGGGCTGGGAGTGTAGCTCAGTGGCAGAACACTAGCACATGTTGGGCTTGGTTTGATCCCTAGCACTGCAAAAAAAAAAAATAATAATAATAATAATAATAAAATAAGTAGGGGGATAAAGAGATAGGGTTTTATATTATTTTCCACGGGCAGATTAGTCTTCTATTAGAACACAACAAAGAACTATTTCTAAATAGGTCATAATAAACCCCTTAATTTTTTAGCAACTGCTTAAAAACTTAATCTGGCTTTAGAAGTACTTATTTACATGTTGCTTATCCAATAGCAAGCCTATTCTCTGATCCTGGAAGAAGCTTATTTTGATGTTTTATTTTTAAACATGAGCTTCATTTCCTTTCAGAACCTCTAGAAATGAACATATGAATAACCTGAGCTAACTCATGTCCGTGTTTCGAATGAGTAAGAAGATAAAGTTTAGGGAAATGTGAATGTGCCCCTGTGTGTACATGCATGTCGGTGTGTGTTATGTGCAGTGGGTATGGGGAGCTGAATTTAAGGTGTTTTTTTGGTTTTGTTTTTTTCTGGCAGCAGTATCAAAGGGGTGGTTTAGGTGAGTAAATGCTAGTCCAACTAAATAAACTTGGCAGTATACTCTATCAAGAATCTTGTATGATTATAATTCTGACTAAAACAAAAACTGCTATTTGAAACAAAAGACAGACATAAATTGCAGGTGTAATGTAGTTTCCATATTTGAAGAATGGTAAAAGTGAAGCTGCCGTAGAAACTGTGTTGGTTTCAGTCAATGCATCATCCTTAAACAGATACACAGCTGTCAGTAGCATAGTGTGCACCACAGGCAACTGGGAATTGTTTTTTTTCCAATAACCTTTGACTGAGATGATGCAAGATTTCCTAACTTTCACCTACACCAAATACTCTGAAGTTTCACCTTCCTGACTGTTCTCTGATTATTTTGTTGACTTGCAAAATTTCAAATGTAATCAGACTTTGGGTACCAGGGATTAAACTCAGGGGCGCTTAACCACTGAACCACATTCCCATCTCTTTTTTTTATTTTAAGACAGGATCTTGGGCTGGGGATATAGCTCAGTTGGTACAGTGCTTGCCTTGTATGCACAAGGCCCTGGGTTCAATCCCCAGCACCACCACCCAAAAAAAAAAAAAAAAAAAAAAAAACAACAAACAAACCAGGATCACACTAAGTTACTTAAGGTCTCCTTAAATTACAGAGGCTGCCCTTGAATTTGCAATTCTCCTGCCTCAGTTTCTCAACCGCTAGGATTACAGGCAAGCACCACCTCATCTGAATGTAACCAGATTTTTAAAGAAACCCCATATAGTCTTAGGTGAAAAAATATTTGTAACAGGAGAGCATCTTGTCTTCCCTAGACATACTATAAGATGAGTGCTAATGTGTTAGGCTCAGAAAATCCATAGCCTCAGCTTTAGAAATGCACATAAATTGAAATATTGTATTTTTCTTTTTCTCTACATCCCCAGCTACTTTCAAATTTTATTTTGAGATAAGTTCTAAATTGCCTAGGCTAGCCTCAACCTTCTAATCCCCCTGCCTCAACCTCCTCAGTAGCTGGGATTATAGGTATGTGCCACCATGCCCAGATAATATACTGTACTTCTAAGATTAGGTTACTTTTTTTTTTTTTTTTTCGATACAAGGGATTGAACCCAGGAGTGCTTGACCACTGAGACACATCCCTGTCCCCACCCTTTTTATTTTCTATTTCGAGACGGTCTCACTAAGTTGCTTTAGGGTCTTGCTAAATTGCTGAAGCTGGCTTTGAACTTGTAATCCTCCTGTTTCCGCCTCCCCAGCCACTGGGATTACAGGCATGTGAGCCACCGTGCCTAGTCTACTTTCTAACATAAGGAGGAAATTGAATCACATCTCTAGTGGAAAGATTATTCTGGAACTGAATCTGTATACCAAGGAGGAACACAGCACCTTTCTAGCATCCTCACTGTGCCTCAAGATGTTGTTTAACCACACAATTTAGGGAGTTCTTGGAAGCCTTGGTGGTAATGATGTCACTTCATATTAAAATATGGGAGGCTCCTAAATTCTCCAGCTGTTTTTCCCCTAAGCATCTAAACTTAAGAATTATTTTCAATATTGAGTCAGAAAATTCATTTTAGAGTTGGAATTTCTGACTTCTTGCCGAGACTTAAAACCTTTTGAGAAGAAATTGAAAATTTGCAACTAAAATTTAAATTATTATAATTTTTACAGTGATTTGGGTGGGAAGGTTAAGTAGTACTGTTGAGAGTACTTTCCTTCCAGTAGTACTCTTAAGCAAAAATGTTAGTGATGATTTTTCAAAGATGTGTTGGCCTGACTTGTGTTGTCTTCCTTCCAGAAAAAATAATGATTATATCTTTTTACTGTGTTTGGGTGAGGGAAAAAAAAAAATTCCCTTATACATTTTTAAGTACGTCAGCTGAGCAAAGAGCTTGTTCAATTATTTGAATAGATCATCTTGAGCCAGACTTTTAAGTAGCAGTTAATGTCTGTTTTCGTAGAATAACAAATAGTATGTTGATCCTGATTCAGAGTTAAAGTTATGAACGGTGAAATAGAAGACCATGTCGACTTTCACTGAAAAGCTGTGGATGCTCCCACTTCCAAACCATTCCTTATACTGGTCTCACTGCCTGGAATTGCCTCTTCCTCTACTCCCTGTGCCTTTTAAAGTCTAGTCCAAGTTGTCAGCCTACCCTTCCCTCCCCACTGTAGCCCTTCCTGGCATTCTTGGATATCAGAGCTAAAGGATCCTTAGAGACCATCTGGTCCAACCCCTTACTTTCCAAGGAAACTGCACTTAAATGACTCACATAAGACTTTTCTTTCCCTGGGTGTTTGTTGTTGGTTGTTGTTGTTTGATAGCATTTGTTGTCATTGCCATCCTTTGGTGCATAGTATGGATTTTTGGCATAATTTTGTCTACGTTGTGCCCTATATCCCAAAGTAGACAGCAAGTTGTCTGAAGGTAGTTGATTGTATTCATCTGTTTGTTTTCTTCTTCCTGAAACAGAACTTTATTCTTAAGTCACTCAATAAATATTCAATAATACATAATAGGCTTCTGCTGACATATTTAGAAAATAACCTATTTAGAGAATGCTCATGTGTGTCTATTGCAGTGAATTTTCAAAAGGTAAGTATTATGTTGAACTAACTCAAGCTGATACTTAAAGCATTTAACTCTAGTGCACATCCACTATTTGTATCTCCTTTTGTTTCCTACTGACTTGTGACTTTTCCAGTCGTCCTGCCCCACCTGTATGCTCAATTTTACAGTAGTGTGTTAACTCTGTTCATAGGTGTGAGGCTGAGGACTTTGAGAAAGCTGCTCTTGATATGCCAATTTGAATCAAGCTCCAATTGAATAATACCAACCAATCATTTTTTCCCAATAACTAGGCCTCAAGGAGAGGACCCCTACCACATTGTTCTGCACAAGTCTGCAGTCTGCTGTGGCACTTCACCTTTTAGTGTTGTTCTACTACCAGATTTCCCAGGAATCTTCTTTTGGTCACCAGTCAAGAAGTGATAGATATGGGGTAGGCTTTGGTGTGCATAATCTGTGAAACACATAGTTAGGAGAAGGCTGTGGAGAACAAATGCACTTTAACACTAGCATAGAAATCATTCACATAGGCTCTCTATCTTGCTAAAATGCAAAGAAAAAAAAACCCTTGAAAATACCTCTGCGTTCAACTTTGAAATATGGAAAGGTGATCTCTATTCAGTAACTGCAATCCTATGGTTCCCCTCCAAATATTAACATTGCTTCACTTGATGTTTTTTTCAGAGTGGGTATAGAATCTTGGTTGCTATTTCTAAAAGCCAAAGTTTATCTGTAGATCCTTTCAATCAAAGAGCTGCATTTGGCCTTTATACGTGAGCAGCACATTGATCCCTGATTAACCAAAAGGGGGAAGCAAAAGCATTTAACTCTAGGCCTTTTATGTTCTGAAGAAATTTTGCATGGTAAAGGACTAAATCTGTCAAATAGCTAGTAGGTAATTTACTTCTATTGATATGTTAGTCAGACAAGATAATTGGTAGTTAATTAATAGACCACTTAACTTAAAAGGTT